GGTTAATCACATTAAAGCTTTCTACTCCGATATGACTTTCAAGCGTAGAAATCATCAATATGTGGTTATTTCTAAGTTTTGTGGTAAAGAGGTTACTATTTCTAGTGGTGAGTTGAATGAGATGTTTGGCATGGAGAATAGTAACAAGGAGCTCACTACCCAAAATAATGATCAAAACCCTTGGTATAATTTTGATGAGGAAAAATGTTGGGAAGTGATGAATTTTAAACCCTCTTTCAATGAGTCTGGACGACCCAAAGTGAGTGGTATGCAACCTCCCCAACGATTGATTCAGTACATTGCTTCTTACATTCTGCGTGGTCGCTCGGGGAATCATCCTCAAATGAGTAGAGATGATGCAATGCTTATCTACGCCATCTTGAAGCCGGTGTCAGTGAATTGGGGGAAATACATCTTGAGCTACATGAATTTATGCAGAGCCAAGAAGAAAGCCTTACCGTATCCCATGCTTCTCACCTTTCTTTTGAAGACAAAGGGGTTTGAATTTCTTAGTACCGAATCGGACTCTGAGACAGCTTTTTGGAGGATCAAGAGGGCGACGGTAATGAGAGTCAAGATTGATACTGAGGAGGAACATGAGGAAGCAGGACCTTCTCATTCTCGTGTAGCTTCACGAAGTAACAAGGTCACATTGCCTATGCTTTTTGAGTCCCTGCAAAGCCTCCAAACCTCCTTCAACAACATCCAGCTCCAACAGGCCACTTACGGTTATAACTTGAACAAGATGTTGGTCAAGAGTGGAGAACAATGGGAAACACCATCCATGGAAGCGCTCGCACCTTACATGTCTCAGGGTTCTTCTTCTCAAGCCGCTTCTTTTGATGATGAAAGTGATGACGTTGATGAGGATGACGATGATGCGGAGAAGGAGGATGCTGACCACCTCGATGCGACCATGGATGAGGAATGAGTGGATTGGGCAATCATTTTCTATCTTTAGCTATTTTTACTTATGCCTTATTTCTCTCTATTGACTCTATCTTTTGCTTAACCCCTTGTGTTTTTGATTATGACTTTACACTTTCTGTGATTTTACCTTCCCTTTTTGCTTATGACAAAAGGGGGAAATGTGGGTATTGCTTGTGCTTGGTCAAGTGCACACAAAAAGGGGGAAGTTGCTTTCTTGAACTTTTTCTAATGATTCATTAGTTGCATGTTTGCTTGTGTCTTGTGTGTGTGTTTAATTTGTTGAATTTGTTGAAAGACAGGAAACCTTGTGAGTTGAGTCCAAGCACTTGTTAATTTGGGTTTGTCATTATCAAAAAGGGGGAAATTGTTGACCCTTGTGTTTTGATAATGACAACCATGCATATGGGATGAGCTTTGAATTTGGATCTTTTCATGTGGATTGCCTAGCACGTTGCTTAGAGATTCAAGACTAGATTTGAAGATTAAAGGTTTTCTAGATTTTTTATTTCTTTTGAGTCTTAGTTCATGTTAAAGTGTTTGGCACACCTTTATTCTTAAAATACTTTGTTTTTCCTACAAGAATTCCTCTTTGATTGTTTTCAAAACTCTTTCTCAAAACTTTTCTTCAAAAATGTTTCTTCCCAGGTTTTTATTCGAATAAATATCAATTTATTCGAATAAACTGGACTTCTGCAGATTGCAGTTCAGTCTGTTTTAATCGAACAAATGTTTGTTTTATTTGAATAAGGGCTGATTCCAGTTTTTCCAAAGTTTTGAAAACTATTCGAATAAATGACTATTTATTCGAATAAGTAGGCTCCCAATTTGCAGTTCATTCTGTTTTATTCAAATAAATCCAGAAATTATTCGAATAAGCCCTGTGTTCTCAAAAATCATATTTTATCCAAACTATTCGAATAAATTGTGTTTTATTCGAATAAACCGGCAGTTTTTACAGATTAACGGACACTTTTTTGAATCTTTTTGGAAGTTACTTTACCCCTATCTCTATTTATTCAATCATATCTCGTTTTTCAATATAGTAGAACACCCAAGAACACTTTCAATAACATTCCTTTGATTAAACAAAGAGATTCATTCAAGTCCTCATCTTCCTACTCAATATTCTAGTTTTTCATTTGAGAAATCTTTCTTCATCTTGAGTTGGAAAGTTTTTTGTGTGCCATACACTATAGGTTTGGTTGTAATCTACAGCATATCCGCTCTTGTTCGAAGAGTCAATTTCGCTGTGCACTTTGGTTTGTAAGTCTTTAAATTGTAAAAACTTGAATTTGAAATAATTCAAGTTTTGGATTGAAATCCAAAGTCTTGTGAAATCAAGACTTCGGTGGAAAGGTTAGAGGCTTGTGAAATCAAGTTCTCGAGTTGTATTCGGATTGTTAAACTCCGTTAAGTTTAACAAGGATTAGTGGAATCTCAGGCACGTTTGCCTTGGGGACTGGACGTAGGCATTAGGCCGAACCAGGATATATCGTTGTCTCCTCGCTTTCATTGTTTCCGTTAATTTTTTATTTTTATTCCTGCGCTTTTTCTTTTTTGAACGAAAAATTTTATTATTTTCGTGAACACCTCTATTCACCCCCCCCCCTCTAGAGGTGTGAAAGGCGTCTAACAAAAAACAAGAAAAAACTGGAAAAAACTGGAAGGAAGTGGAAGAAACTAAAAGAAACTGGAAAAAACTGGAAGGAAGTGGAAGAAACTTGAAGGAACTGGAAGTTAAAAGTTTAAGCCCTAAAGAACAGGCTCTTAGATAAATTCCCCATATAAAAACTGGGAGATCATGTAGTGAGAGTCGAAAGAAAAAACTTGTCATTTCATGAAGTGAGAGTCCATGTAGGTGGTGATTGAGGTGACAGAGAGAGTAATATTATAAAATATGTGAATTGTTGGAGTAATGATGTTATTTACGGAGTATTAAATTTGGGACTATGGTATAAAATAGAGATATTTGAAGTGATGCCGTAAATTTTTGCTTTTTAATTTTATACTTTTACTCCGGCACATACATAAAATATTCACCAAATGTTTTAAATAAGAGATCATTTTCAAACACAACATCAAAGGAGTAGTAATACATTCAGTGTGAAATCATTGAATAAATTTAAGTATGGTAGAGAAATCTTCATTTTATGAAAATAATAATCTTTCTTAATTCTATAATTTTTTAATTATATTTATAACACAATTTTCAATTATAAATGGTGGTTGCTCAATATGTGGAGACCGTGAGGAGACCACGACGCACATCTTTACAACGTGTCCCAAAACCAAACAGGTTAGGAACGCCATTGGCTTCTAAGATGACCCCAATGATGAGAGGAGCATGAAGAGATGAGTGTTCGAAAACATCTCTCGGGAAAGGAAGAATGCATGTTTCAATGACCGGGAGACCACCTTTTCAATCACTTGTGGGTGAATCTGGAGATGGCGAAACTCCGCATCCTTTGAAGTATTGAAGATAATTGACTTACCTTATTTATGTGATATGTATTCCTAATTTGTAGTTATTTGTAGTTATTCCTTTTGTATTTATTCTTGGTAGCTATAGCTATTTATGGTAGTTAGATCATTGTAGTATTTGTACACGCCTATATATATTAGGCCTTATTCCTAATGATAATGAAGTATCATTCTCTAGATGGTATCAAAGCTTTAAAAGGAATTTTTTTTTCCTCGGGGAGATGTTTGACACATAATGTAAAGTCCGTTGGATTCTTGAAGCCAAAAGAGAAATATCAATCGCTTTCATTAGACAACATATGAATAGAAAGGTGTCTAATTCTAGTGGCAATTGTTTGCTTCGATGGCAAAAGACTAAGAATGATGAGTGGACCCTCAACGTTGATAGAAGTCACATGGGAGCTCTTATATCTCGCTATGGTGGAGTCCTTCATGACAAAGATTGCAAATGGGGAGAGTGGCTTTGTAGGTAAAATTAGAAGTGATAATGTGGTAGAAAGTGAGGCAAGAACTACAACTAAAGGCCTCTAGTGGGCTTGGAATCGCGGTGTGTGCGACTGTAACACCCTGACCCCCGTGATCTGGATACAGGGACATGCGGATCGGGTTGTCATCAGATTAGCATCCAAATACAATAATTTTCAAAACAATTTAAAACATTTATATCAAAACATTATTTATAAATCCATCGGAGTTAATCAAAACGGTGCAGAAGCTTAAAGTACTTAATTCAAACAAAACTTTAGGTTCTTTTCCCGAGAACATATTAAATTCCAATATAATATTAAATTAAATAAACTCCTTCAGCCAGCATCCATCCATGTCCTCGTCCTTGCTGCCCTCTAGGATTATTTCTTTATTCATCATTCTTGTTACCTACATGTAGCAAAAAGGAAAAAAAGGGCTACACGCTCAACATCGAAGTTGAGTGAGAAAAATCTAACACTTCGACTACGCAGTGACACTTCAACTAGCTCATAATTTCATACAATATCATGCACACCAGTACAACATTAATAATATCAATAATATCAAACAACACATAAATCGATCCTACTTCATGGATTACGAAATTTATCTCATTCTTAAATTAGGAATTAATGACACAGAATCCATATGCAAAACTCATAATCAAACTTCTTTATTGTAAATATATATAATATCTCAAACAAAATTTAAATCTTGATAGATTTTTTATACTCTATATTATATATTTAAGGAAATTTTAATTATTAAAAAAAGTTATTGAATACATTAAACCACAAAGTTTTCATATTAAAAATTATCTAATATACAAAAACCCATAATGCACTAAATTCATTTAATAAATTTCTCATCTTTAATTAGTGGTATAAGATGAGCTACTTCAGAGTATATTTTAGGTCAATTAATTTTCATACAAAAGAATAAATTAATAATTGTTAAAAAACTATATTTTACTCAAAAGACTTTTAAAATGATTTTTATTTTTATGAAAAAAGAATAGGCTAATCATGATTAGTTTCTTTTTTATTATTAATTTATTTACTTTTTGTTGAAAAATTACATTTGTTTCATTTACATAATTTTCAATAAATTAGAAAGTCCATATTTTTCAATATAAAATATATTGTTTTAAACTCATCATATTTTAAAGGTTATCATAAATAAATTTCCATCAATGATGAATGAGAATTTAAAACATGTCATGTAATTTATTCATTTTCCATGTCATTTAAAAATTGCCATGTAAGATTACACATGTCAACTTCTTGGAGACATGAGTCTCAAATATTATAGTAAAGGATTACGTGGTGCTGACATGTTAAAATTTTGTCAAATAGACACGCCAAATGTCGAGTTCTTGTGAATTAGAGTCTCCTTTATTGTTGTAAAGGATATATATATATATATATATATATATATATATATATGATAATAATAATAATTAAAATAATAATAATAGTAATAATAATAATGGTAGTATTAGTTATAATAATCTTTGTATTTTAGTCAGTTTCTTATGATAATTAATAATACAATAAAGAAGTAATATAATAAAGAAGGTAATAGATAGTAATATTATATTTCCTCATACATCTATTATTCCTTATATCTCTCGCAAACTGATCATCGGTAACGAGAAGCAGCTTGGAATACAGGTATTGAGATTGAGCCGGCAAAAACAGGTTTGTGAGGATGACCGTTAGAAGTACTACAGAGCCAGATCTTTGTTGCACGACGAACGAGCTTGATGTTACGTTTGTTGAGTTTTTTTGGTGAAATGTTGACGATTGGAGCATAGGCAATGAGTTTCTTTTTTCTCCTTTTGCGCCGTTTTCTATTTTCTATCACTATCCATACTCTTGATCTCTTGGAAAAAATATACAGACAAATGCAACTTTTCCATTCTTCGATCATGCACATGATTTTTTGGTAGAAAGAGAGAATTATTTTTTCCCATCTTGATATGGGGTATTACAGAGAAAGAGAAGGATAATGGACGTCGGAGATTAGGAATGCTCGTCGAGATTGGTCGGTGATACCATGCTGTCGGACGATCGACTGGAGAAAACAGAGAACAGCGATGTTTTTGGTCGGAAAAGGAAGGGTTAGTTTTTTCAGAATCTTATCTTCAATACCATGATATAATTTAAAAATAAATTAATCTTACAGGGAGTAATAGATACGGAGTACATCCCTATAAATAAGACACTAACTCTTTACCTTACGAATTGCAGAATGCCTATTGGCCTATCCCAATTTAATTAAAAAAAGGTAATGATGTAGATTGATGAGGGAAAAGAATAGGCTTAGAAAGTGGAAAGAAACTGGCCTGACTCAAATGTCAGCTGACTCCGCCGCCGGCCTACTTTTCCATCTTTTTACTCAGAACCCACCGCACCAACATGCTCTATTAGACGGAAGCTATATATAAAGCCCCCCCACCCACTTCTCCAAACCCTCAACCGACCTTCCACTTTCTTTCTCCATTCCTCAATTCCAAAACCAAATCAGTATTCCGCGCAATTCAAAGCCAACCCATCGTCAAAGAAGAAAAGAAGAGATATGGGCGGGCGGGTTGTAGAGGGCACAGATGAAGGCGGGATTGCCAGAAAGCTATGGAAGAAATTCAAGCACGAAACGGCCTTTGCTTTGTATACCCCGTTTGTGGTTGGATTGGGCTCTTCTACTCTGGACTCCCAAACTTTTCTTCGCTGCATCTCTCAAGATGTCTACTTTCTTCAAGCCTTCTCCAAGGCGTACGAATCTATCTCTATTCGTTTCTCTGGTTTAATTCTTCGATTGCGTGTTGGGATTGACAGGCGGTTTAGGTTTGGATGTGAATGAAGGTATGAATTTGCGGAGGAGTATGCGGATGATGAGGAAGATAAGGAAGCTATTGGCATGCTGAGAAAGCGCGTGCTGAGGAGGCTCGGCGATCAACACAATCTTGTTCAAGTGAGTTTGCCTTATTGTTAGAGTTTATCCCACATCTGAAGTCCAAGAGTAAAATAATTCGTATATAAACTCTTGAGTTAAACTAACTAATTGATTGGATTCAATCTTTTAATATGGTTCGTTTTGGTCCACCTCGTTTGTCAAGGTGTCCGTCTAAACGTTCATTCCTAACGGCCCGTTAGTATTTAGCCCAGTTGTCCGTATGGAATATGTAACCAATGGCCTGTGGCCCGTTTAACACGATTGCTCGTTTAACACGATTGCTCGTCTGGAAGTCCATACCCAGCGGCTCGTGATCCTTTAGGTGTTGCCACTCAAAAAAAAGTCAAGGGAATGAGAGTTCATTTGCAAGTGGTGAATCGGTATATAAGCTCTTGAGTTGAACTAACTAATTGATTGGATTCAATCTTTTAATGTGGTTCAACTCAAGTGTCTTATTACCCAATCCAGGCCATACCCATTCCAAATTCTATCACTTATACTGTTGTTTTTTGCTCTACACTTGTTTATATTCCGTTTTGAATTTCGTTGAAATTTCTGAAGTTGTTGAAAACATTGATGGAGCTCGTGATTGAGAATCCTTTCTTTTTGAAGAAATTAAGAAAAATAATACCCCGTTTGTGAAAACAGAGGTGGAAATGATCACTGGCTTCTACTACTTCACTTAAAAGAGTACTTAAAATCATAAGGGCTTTTCGTTTGAGCTATTTGTAGCTGTTTTGTTGCTGTTAGGACAATTGTTGAGAAATTTTGAATTTTGGCGTTCATTTGAGCAGTTGAGGTTATGATGCCAAATTACATATAATGAAATTTAAGTAAAAAGTGTAGAATACGTGGGTCAGAAAAAGAAGGTATTTTTTTAAAGTTGGAAATATTTGTGCAACAAAAGCAAGTTCATCAAAGTCCCACAAAAGTAGGGTATTTTTGTGAACAAAAAACCTGTATATTAATTGCTTCCGTGATAGAAACAGCTCCAAAATTGAGTTGCCGAGGTACGTTTCGAATTTTCTTGCCGCAAACAGATGTCTATCGTCTCTACTGAATATGGCCCGTTACTTTTTAAATATTGACCAATTTAGCAAGCACAATGAAATAAGTGTTTAGTTGAAACTCTATTGCCCTACTTTCCCCTCCAGTTATAACCAACTCAGCGGAAAACTAATTATTGTTCTCTAAAAAATCTATGTGCCTACTTTTTCACCATTATTAACAAATTTAGTTGGCAAAGCCAATAAGTTAGTGTGATTAGAAAAAAGTCTGGCTAGTAATGCTGATAAGCTGAAAAAAGTAGCTACCAAACAGCTACATAGTAGCAAAGGGTTTTAAAATGAAATGTGAATTGCAAAGAAAAAAAAATATGAGTTTGGGGATGATGAAGACATGCCCTTCTTCCCTCTTTAATGCTGCTACAATTAATGGGCGCAGGATTGGGGGTTTGAGCTTCCAAAAGATAGCACTTGTGTTACTGCAACAATCAAATACACAGACTTTTTGATGGCAACAGCCGTCGGAAAAGTTGATGGAGAAAAGTTTCCTGGTAAAATTGTGACTCCTTTTGAGAAGACAAAGCTTGCTGCATATACTCTAAGTGCCATTGCTCCTTGTATGAGGCTATACCACTTTGTAAGTAGGGAAATTAAGGCCATTCTTGACCCTCAAGAGAAAACCAACCCATACGAGAAGTGGATTGATAGTCTCTCCTCTGATAAGTTTGAGGTGTGTGGCTATTTTGACGGTCCACACTTTTAAAAATGTGTTCTGGGACTTCATTGACAGTTCTTATATATATATATATACATCCAGGTAGCAGCTTCAACAATTGAAGATTCGCTAGATAAATTATGCATATCTTTGACCAGTGGGGAGCTTGAAATTGTGGAAAAGCTATATCACCAATCACTGAAACTCATATTAGAATTCATATCGTCTCATCCATACGTCCACTCATCATCAATTGTCCCCATTGTTTCTCAGCTGCAAGAACCTGCTGAATCCAATGTTAGAATGTTCTGTGATTTTGACATGACATGTTCTGCAATTGATTCATCTGCCCTATTAGCAGAGATGGCAATCTTTGCTGCAAGAAAGGCCTCTCTGAACGAATGTGACACTCAACCTTCTCAGCCTATAACACCCGATCTCGCTGCCACTTGGGGCAGTTTATCCAGCAAGTACATTGAAGAGTATGAGCAATGCATTGAAAGCATTCTACCCACTGAAGCTGGTATACTATTTCAGTTTGCATTCCATTTTATATGACATGAGCTGTATGTAATTCCGTGTATATTTTATTTGATGCTAGCTAAGCTCTCTTCAATTTGATGACAGTGGCAAATTTTGATTATGACCGCCTATGTAAAGCACTTCAAAACCTATCTGATTTTGAGAAAACAGCGAACTCGATGGTGATTGCTTCTGGTGTACTGAAGGGTCTGAGTGAAAATGATATAAAACGGGCTGGTGAGCGCTTAATATTTCAAAGAGGCTGCAAAAACTTCTTCCAGGAAATAACAAGAAGTGAGAACCTTCTCATGGGTGTTCATGTGCTTTCCTACTGCTGGTCCGGGGATCTCATCAGGTCCGCCTTCTCTTCAGGTATATGCTTATGCGAATCATCTTGTTTCAGAACCTCTTTCCTTTTAACAAAATTCAGCAGATTCAGCCAAACAACACTTTCCAAAAGTGCGCCGATTTTTCCTTCTTTGACCAGGGAAACCAGATGTTGTGAGTGTGCATTCAAACGAGTTGGTATATGAAGAGTCCATTACCAGCGGCAAAATGATTCAGAAGATGGAGTCCCCTATGGACAAGCTTGAGGCCTTCAACGGCATCTTGGACAACCATGGAAACGAGAGCAAGCCACTGACAGTGTACATAGGAGGTTCAGTCAGTGACTTGCTTTGCCTTCTCAATGCAGATATTGGGATTGTGATAGGTATGAGTGACATGCTAAGGACAGTAGGTGAGGGGTTTGGAGTTACATTTGTCCCACTCTTCCCTGGGTTGGTCAAGAAACAAAGACAACTGTCTGAATGTGGTTGCTGTAACTGGAATAGGATGTCTGGGATTCTCTATACAGTCTCCAGTTGGGCTGAGATACATGCTGCCCTTCTGGGGAAAAGGACAATTTCGCCCTCACCCATATAAAAAGCGTATATTACCCACCCGGGAGATAATTAGTTTACCTAAACAGCTGAACTTAGAAGGATATAGGTAGGTAGGTTATATTGTGCCTAACATTAACGGGTGGCTTATATTGGTAGCCATTTGACTCCCACTCTGATATTGGACCTCTGTTCATATGGCCTCAAGTATCATCTGCATTTTCCGTTCGCCAGTTTTTGTTCAGAACAGTTTGATCAGGCATCCCACGTACAGGTTCCAAGTTTATGGGGTTGATGTTCTTTTTCTTTTTGAGTTTCTTGGTAATAATGTTGGAATATGAGATGTTTTAATTATCTCATAATCTCATTTCATTGTGTAATAACTAAAACATGAAAGAAATGGTTTGTGTACATAAATTTCCCTCTGTATGTTCTTGAATTATAAAGATATTACGAACATTACGAATTATGTTTTTACTTTACAACACGAAGTCTTTTGTTTGACAAAAAAGAAGCTGAAATTTTGGACTGGTGTACGACCTGTGGGTCTATTTTGATTAGGTTGTTGGCTTGTTGCTTTATTTTTAAATAAATTTTGTCGGTTGGACCGGCATAAGCACAACATTGGAGAATTAGACTTCGAACAGTCTTCAAAGTCTCTAGCCCAAGTGCATAAAACATTCGTACAATTCTAATTTCGGAACAATTCCCTCATTGGGAACTTTGTAGGGAGGAAATTCCCCACTCAAACTTTTGAATGTTATACATGCAAATTTTTTTTTTCCAGAATTTTCGCATGTCCTACATGCTAAAACATCAACATCAAAGTTGCTTTTTCCAGTTGGTATCACGCAAGCTTTTCCCAGTTTTTTTTAAATCATTTCGCATGTACTACATGCAAAACAAATGTTAGTTTTTTTATTAAATAATTTCTCCCACAAATGCATATATGGTTCCTTAAAGAATATATATATAAATAATATTATGTATTTTTATATATATAATTTTTTTTACATATCATTAAATATGTATTATTGAAATTTTTGAGTATCAACATCAATAATAAATTTAAGAAGCAAATATGATTAAATATTAATTATAATGAACCAGTTTTAAGAAAATACACAACATAAAAAACACATAGAAAAAAGTACAATTATTTAAACACATAATAAAAAAGTACACTTAAAAAATACTTAAAGCATAATTATTAATTTGCCCTACGATCCATCTCTCCCGGATAACGATTTTGCTGACGACGTCCTCGACGTGGAGTCTCTTCTAAGGGGCGTATCAGTGGCAAGACTTTCCAATCACCAACATTCAAATTTTCTGGAAAAATGAACGGTTCAATCCAACCACTGTAACAACTTAAATATCTCTGAACAGAGTATTTGTCTGGAACAAGATCATCTGCAAGTTGTTGAAAAGAATGATACACGCCATGAACATGCACACAAGGGATTGCATCTGCAATCCATTGTCCACACGTGCAAAT